TTATCCCACCCCCTCTACCACTTTGGCAAGCTGTCAGGGGATTATTTCATAATGGTTAGGATGGAAGATTTAGGGAGCAGACGGTACCTCCACTTCATTTAAAGGAAAAAAGAAAAACCCAGATGGACAGCTTTAAAAAATCCATTGGCCCAAGCAAAACCAGGTCTCTGCATTTTCCACCCAAACTTCTCACCCTCTCGCATGGAAAACGGCCCAGGTGATGGTAACGACCTGGCTGATTTTTTTATTTTTCAACTGCATAAACCATAAATTGTCCTTTCGCCTCATGGCTAGTATATTACCTATGACATCAATCGCATGACATTGGGAAACATACCAGGTCCCTTTAAAAACTAAGCACCATTGCCTTAAAAAAATGCCCTTTTTGGTGCATGAGATCTCTTTATTGCAAGACATTTTGGGCCAAGGGTCTACAAAGGAACAATCAGGGGGCTCATGAAAAGAGTCTAGCACATCTTGGCTTTCACATCATCCTATACATGCCATATGCCATAAGCAACGCCCTATACTTGACATAAACATTCACATAAAAACTACATTCACTACAGTATTGTACATTGATTTGTTGCCTAAGGATTAAACTAGCTTTTAAGCCAATATCGTTAGATCATACATGAAGAGAGGACAATTAACACCATTATCTTTGGAGGCCTAACACAGAACTTGCATGTAACATCAAGCTCAGTTTGAGCCTGCACAGAACGCTTGGCTATCAGGAAGTGAGTACCCATGTTGAGCTTCAACTCTCTCCGTTGAAATCAACGGGGTCGCTGTGTCCATTTCTTTTACTGTCTATGGAGCAAATTAATGAATGAACCCTTTATTTGATCATTCAGGAAGACCAGTGAAGCCCAATTTACGAATGAATAACGCGTATGATGAGCCGGTTCTTTTTTAGTGAATCAAATTTGAAAATACACATCGCAACCACTGAAGATTTCTGAGCGAAAGACCCTTACGAGCCGGTTCTCTTTAATTGATCAAAAACATACAATAACCAATGCGACCAGTGAAGTCCCATTTTTGAGCATTTTTAATTCAATCTCAATTGATTTCGTCATGTTCGACTGAACCATTATGTTTGCAAGCATCAACCTCCCTGTCTCTCTCTTGAAAACAACACGGAAGTGAATTAAACTACAATTCATCGACTGGCCGCTTGAGGCCGGATGCAAAAGTGAGTCAAATCTGTATCTCAGTTAAAACTTTACAGAAAAAAAACAAACAAATAACAAACAACAAAAAACATGTTTACATACACCCTGGTGCAAAAAGTGGTTTTGGTCTATATAGCTCATTTTTGCCCTTCATGACAAACTGTGATGGGGGTGATTTTTTTTTTTACAACTCATCCGTTTAAATTATATTAAGCCTTAAAGTTCTGCATAATTAAGGGCCCGTAGCCACTTGAGTGACAGGTGGATTGCTAGCCGTTTGTCTGCTATCTGTTAGCGTCACCCTCAGCTTTTTTGGGATTAATTCATACAATTTAATAGACCCATTATACCTTTGCCCACATTGTTCGATTCCGTCATTGTCAAATAGGGAGAGAGCAACCAGCGCTGTTTCCAGTTGTTTACGTCGCATGCACTAATGTAGGCTATGTCTGACAATTTCCTTGCTTTTTGGAGTTTAGATTTAAAAGCGTCAATAGCCTATAGAGACACTCGTTATGGGGTACAGAACAGTTAAATGCGGTATTGGTCGTGCTCACGGAACAGATTTTAATGATTTAGTATTTTCAGATTTAGTAACTAACTTTTTAGTGTTAGATAAAATGTAGGCCTACCGTCAGATGAAATCCTGCAAGTGCAGTGCATTCTCGCCGTCCATGCAATAGATTCACATCTGTCACAGTCTTCGTCTGCTTGTGTCTTCACTACGCTTCCTCCTCGTCTCCACACCTGAACTCACTTCCTGACTTACCAGCCTGTCCCTCGTTATCATCATGTCACCTGTCGTCACATCTTTATGGTTTATTTGTCTCTGCATTTGTTTCGATGTGTGTTTTTGTTAATCTTCTGCCCGTGTACCTGACCTGTACCAGTTTCTTTAATTTCATATTTAGTTATTTTTTTGCCTTTTTGAGTCCTCATTCAATCCGCACCTCACCGTGACAACATCCTTGAATAGCGCTGATTTCTGTAGGCCTACTTGAACTTCGGAAGTAACATCTTGGTTTAACCCATTTGAGAAAATGAGAGGTGGTCAAAATCAGATTTTAAAGTTGACTGAACTACTTAAAAGTGATGGTGTAGTGTGTAAAACTGCACAAATGAGGAAAACACAATTTCATTACAATGAACTCATGGCAACATATATATATTTTTTACATGAACTAAGTTTTACAGTCACACATGATTTCCCAAGTCAAAGCAGTTGATATGACTGTACTTAATTTAATGCAGAAACAAATAATTTTACAGTGTACTAGGACCATTTAGAGTTCATTTACCAGCAGTGAAGGTGTTCTGCTCCTGGCCTCTGGCTGTGGGTCTGAGGAAGAGCTGAACCCATATGCCCTCCACAATAGGTCAGTTCACATTCAACCCAAGGGCCAGCTCTTCTGGGTATAATGTGGGGGTGCAGGACCACCACCATGCTTGTTTTTCTTTTCTTTTATTCTCAGCCTATTTTTTGGTTGCTTTTATAAACTTATATCAACAGTGCCCTTTTAAACGAGATTAGTATAAGTAATACAAATTACCATTATGTAGAATATTCTGGTACTTCACTTTTACTTGTTCCCATGTTCTAGTATTGAGTGGTGACTCTGACATTATAATGAACAAAGTTATTATTTATTTAGAAATGATTAAAATATGAAAATATATACTGTTATAAGTGATAAAAAACATCTAACATGGTCACTACCATGTTAGCACACTTTGAGGTGTTCCCTGGCGTTTTTAATTAAGTTTTCAAATCAGCATATCCTTCAACAACACATTCTCATCCTAGAGCGTCATCTAACTGACACTTTTGACCATGCGTCTGAATCCGACGCACATGGCAACCTTTAGCGTCAGTTAGATGACGTGGGTATGTTTAGGTCTGGGGTAGGGTTAGACCACTAGGAGGCGCGTCTCATATTGACGCTAAAGGGTGCCATGTGCGTCGGATGTTTACGCATGGTCAAAAGTGTCAGTTAGATGACACCTTGGGATTAGAATGGGCTGCCTTCAACCAATAGCTCTTGCTCTGTGGTGGTGAAAAACTGAGTGCGCTCATTGGCCACGGTGAGCAGCCAATAGCTGATCAATGTTTCTACTATCGATTCATATCCCCTTTTAAACCAGCGCATGCTCACGCAATTATCTCAGATACCTCAATTCAGCAATACTAATCATAACCGGCAGGTGTTCGAAGAACCTAATTAGCCGGATCAGGATGAGCACGATGATTTTATCTTGGGTGTCTTGTTTGATCTCGTATACGAAGAACGGGCCCCTGGTCCCAAACTACTCCCAAGACATGAGAAAAGATGAAAAGATTAATGCTGATTAACATGTTTTTTTTCTAACTGAGACTTAATTTATTTGGCTCCTAAATGAGGTGATGAGAAATCCCTCTGCGTGGAGACCATCTATGATGTAAATAGCACTAATGCTCTTTTTCTTACAGTATTCTTCTGTTAGATCAACATGATGGATTGCGTGTACTTTTGTTAAATATGATACTGCAGAACATCATGCATGTGGTATGCACCACTATGTTCAAACATGGACTTATGTACTTATGTTTGGGAAGACTTTGGCTCAGCTGTGAACAAAAACCCACGATACCACCAGGGTATCTCATGGCCAAATGATGCGTGAGTGAGTAATAAAATAAAAGATATATACTCCATCCCAAATGTTTGGGGCCTAATCTGAGGCAGACGGAGCAGCCAGTTTCTGTATAAGGGATCTTTTCATGGCACTGTGGGGCCCAGCACATTTTGGGAAGAAGCCACAAGGAAAAAAGAGCCCCCTCCACCCCCTTCTTTTAATCATTCCACTGCCACCTCTTTGTGGGGCTTTTTCACTTTGATTTCATGTTTGCCCATCTTATCCTCCCAAGAGGGGGGGTATCTCAAGATATTTATGTGTATACAAAAGCCCACCCCCCTTCCATCAACCACTCTTTCCTCTTTCTTGCATTTTTTAAAGTTACACTGTCTTAAAACGCACACCTAAACAGCTGAAAGGATGTGGATGATTTCAAGAGTTTGTGAGACGATAGACTGTCCTTGTTTTTCCGAAATACATCTCGGACTGTATTTAATGAGCATTTGAACGGGTTGTGAATAATTATGTGAGTAAACCTAATGAAACATCTCAAGAAAATGTCCTGGATAAACCTTAAATTAAGCACTTAGGACCATTAATATTTTTTAAATAGACCATTAAGCACATTCTCCAATATTTTTTTCATTAATATATTGTGTCCTGATGTTTTACTCACACTATTCCCATTATTTAAAAACTAATAATTATTCAGTATAAAATCAGTAGGCTGCGTATGAGGTGCAAAATACTCGAAATAATAATACTGTATTTGTTTTTTCATATTACGGTAATGAGAATAATCAGCCTGTTCTTCTTATAAACCAGGCATTATATAAGACGCTTTTGCCAAAGTGCAGACATCCAACGCGCATGGCACCCTTTAGCGTCAATATGAGACGCAGATATATATGGGGCAGAAGGCGCCTCCTAGTGGTCGAACCCTAACCCTACCCCAGACCTAAACCTGCCCATAACCGAAGCGTGTTATATTGACGCTAAAGTGTGCCATGTGCGTTGGATGTCTACGCTTTGGCAAAAGCATCGTATATGACGATGCTTTTGGGATGAGAATGCGCTGGAATAAATATGAAAATCTTGTTTTTCCCACATTAAAGTATTACAATAATTCTTATTTAATTACAATTAGTAAGAAAAATATAGTAGCAATCCTAAAAACAAATATGAAAAAACTTTATAAACACTGTTTGGAATGAAATATGACCAATAAACATTTTCTTCACAGGTTTAATAAGATACACCTATTTTATGAAAGTTTCTAGGTTCTCTTTGTCCCCAATTCGGAAAGTAGAGCACAAAGTAAAGTTGGAGCAACTTTTATAACGGAATTCATAAATTAGAAAACAACCCTGGAACATTATGACAAGCGCTCTTTTTGTCTTTTATGCACTCATCATCTCCTCACTCTCAGCTTGTTTCTAAGCCAGACGTGAGGTGTTTCTCCAGGACGGTGGGGGGAAGCAGCCGCATTGGGTGTTAGTGTTGCCTCTGGAGCTTTATGGACTCCCTGCTGGGAGCATCTCCTTAATGTGCACAATGAGAAGTATTTATACCAGCCTGACCATTCCGACCCCCTTAACTCTGTCCCATCGGCCCAGACTCGCGGATCTTTTCAGAGCCGTGCACAAAGCGCCCATCGGCAGTCTCTGCTCGTTGCTGAGACTGAAACAACCTGTATCTCACAAACACAGAGAAAAGAGAGGATTAGCATTATACATCCATGGTTTATTATCCTCGTGGTTTAATTATCATCACATTATAAAGAATATAAAATATATGAGCGCACTATTTTAATGTGACTTGCTCAATGTGAAAAGGAATTGGAAGCTCCACTTAATAAGTTTGTGCCTGGATGGGCAGAAAACATGCACGTGGAACAAAAGGTTTTGGCTTTAACAAACACTTTCTATTTTGGTCGTTTCTACTTTCTCTCGTTAGGCCTGCTCTGTCCTTCTCGTTACCTTGTTCTTTTCCTCTTTTTAAACAGTTTACTTCTTTCATTCCAACTTCCTTTTCACTTTCAGCATTGTTTATTCCAGCTTTCATTCTTCCTTCTCTCTCTTTCAGTCTTTTGGATTTCATTCCACCCCCATTTTCTCTCAGAACACCAGTGTTCAGGTCCCATTTCTGTGGGGAATCGTGTGTGTGTGTGTTTGTAGGGGGTTGGGCTGTACCCAGTGTTTTAGTTTATGTGTGTATGCTTTCGCAGTCCCCTGCCGTGAGGAAGAAGCAGAAGCCTCTTTTTATCTGTCTTTGCATTCCAATGCATCCTATACAGTCCCTGTGAAATGTTGGGAATGAATGAATGATGCCTCTGTGCTAAAGCTCTTTTTTGTGTATTTAGACTTTTTTGGGCTGAGATTTTGAGACAGATACATCCCTAAAGATGAATATATTCTCTTAAATTCTATGGCTGGGATTGACAAAAGGTTTTCATTAAGAGTGGCAACCCAACACAGTGCCAAAAAAAAGTTCCTTGAAATCAAATACATTTATTTTTAAATAATGAAATCAACTGCATAGGCCTAACAATATGCACAATTAATAGCATGCCATTAACTGAATGAAAACTGACAATTTTGTTTCAAAATATTAATATTTTGATGGTTTCATAGTCGAATATTTTGATGGTTTCAAATTCATAGTCGCAAAATCTGTTTATGTTGGCATCTGCTTATTGCTATTTATGTGAACCTGTGCAAAAATATTGTAGAGTTTGATTGGATGCTTTATTTTTCACATTGTCAACTTGTAAAAAAGCACTAGAGGTTTATCCTCACTGCCTTAGGGCGACTACACAATGTTAGGTTAATTAGCCAAATTAAATGGGTGGTTTGCTTTGAACTGCAGGAATTGAGATATCCTGAAGTTCCCTATCGTAGTCACTTCGAGTTACGTCAGAAGTGACGGAGATTGGGGGTTTCGCATAGAAAGCCAATCCTCTTCGAGTATTAAAACACGAGCCAATGGCATGCAATGCCTTGGGGCTGCGGAATTTTGCATAGCGTACTCCGCCCTACTCCGTGAGTATAAAAGGAGGAAGTGAACGCAACCGCAGTATGTTTTCGCTTCGGAGCCAAGAGAACCTCTTCACTCCTGAAAGCACTGTTCAAGACTCTTCGAGACGAGCGTCCTCTTCAGTGTTGGTGTGACGGCGGTACCCAGCGAGATTCTGCATCGCCTGCGATCTGAGCAGTGGTCTGCCAGACTTTGCGCTTCTCCCTGGTCGCTTCAGCGCTGAAAGAGTGAATTTCCTCCTCTCATTGAAAGAGCTGCACGCGCACGTCTTTTTAAAGACGGTTCGCCCGTGTTCTTCTGGGTGTGGTTGATTTCTGTCGTCATCTGATGGTCACGATCGCTGCTTTGTATGCCTGGGCATTTCAGCATGCAGCAGCAGCGTTCGTGGATGACTCATTTTCCTTCTGTGGGAACATGACCATCTCTACACTGAGGTCGAGACTCAATGATCTCACTTGAGTGAGAGTCCCGGTCCCCCCCGCTCGATCGGTTTCCTCCATAGGGGGCCCGTCGACCCGGGGACCTGGTGATTTACGGTGATGGTGTGGGATAAGCCCCGACGATTCCTCGGGCCACACCTCCCGCCTCAGTGCGAGAGCCAGCGAGCGTTAGTTCGATTCAGTCGGTTGCTTCTTCGGTGGCACCGGCTGCTTCGGGCAGCGCTCCAGATGATGATGCGATGTCGATCACAGCATCACTAGGCGGGCTTGACTCCTCGGGAAGTGAGGATGCGGCCGCGTTGCCTCCCTCGGGAGCGTCAGCGCCGCCGTGTCTGATCCCGCGATGATGGCCGTGCTATCTCGGGCGTCCGTGAGCATCGGGTGGGGGTGGAACTCCGCCCCTCCCCGATCTCTCGCGGCTGAATAATTGGTTTTTGGGTAACGCTGCCGCCTTACGGCCACGGCCAACCCCAATTTCCTTTTTTCCCCGAGTTGCATGCGGAACTGACACGCACTAAAAAAATAATAAATAAATAAAAAAAAAATAAATAAATAAATAAAAAAAAAAAAAGCGTGCTTAGTTCCCCGCCCTTCCTCCCCTCGGCGATGCGGCTGTCTGTGGGTACGCTGGGGCTCCCCCGGTCAACCGGCGGTTGCTCTCAGATGCCCCTCCAAAGCCTATGGGTTCTCGTCGTCTATGGCGGCGCGATTCTGTAGAGCGGCGGGACAGGCAGCCTCCGCCCTGCATATGATGAGCACCTACAAAGCTAGCTGCTCAGGAATGTGCACGAGGAGGTGACGGACCAAGCGAGCTGCGAGCCTGTCGCCTACCTTGTCCTTAAACGGGTCACGGAGGCGGTCGCTCGCTCCCTTGGTCAGGTGATGCCCACCGCTGTGGTCCAGGAGCATCATAATGTTCGGCGGTGCGGTCCAGGACTTTGCCCAGCACTTCTCGACCGCCTAGGAGCAGACGAAGGCGGTTTCTCTGCCCCGACGGCCAGCTGCTGCCTCCAACCAGCCGTCGGCTCGGACGCCTCCGCCAGCTCGCCGCCGAGGACGCCCCCCTGCGGCTCCCTTCCCTCCCACGCGGCCCCAGCAGCAGCCTTCAGCCGGTTCGCGTCGCGGAGGAGGCCACAGGTAAGCGTCCCAAGAAAAGAGCCCCCCTCAGGCCGCGTGCCCCGCTAGATGCCAGGCGAAGCGATGTTCCTGAGGCGGGCCGCTCAGTGATAGTGTCATGGTTTTTCTCAGGAGGCGGTGGCAGGGCCCCTCCTTCCCCGGTGGAGGGCCGGTGGAGAATCTTTTGTTCTAGCTAGCTCCCTGAGCTGGTTGAGGAAAAGCTGACACTGTCATTGAGCACACAGACTGGAATGAGCGCGCACGACGTCCAGTGCGTCGCCCCGTTCATTCCTCTCTGTCTCGGAGGGCGCGGAAGGGTGCGTGTGTCGTCCCCGGGCTACGCCAATCCCTTCCCCCTCTGTCGCCAGACCCCGGCAGAACAGACCCCCGTGGAACGCTCTGCCTTCCCTGGTCTCTTCTGTCGGGGAGCGGGTTTCGACGGTGCATCCGGACGGGGTAACTCCTGCACGCATGCCGGTCGACCCGCCTCGCTGCCCCTCCGGGGGGACGTCTGTGGTTCGCATGACCCCGTTGGCTCACTTCCTGGAAGCCTGGCTAGCGCTTCCCGGGGTTCCCGCTGGGTCATCAGAACGATCGGATTCGGCTACGCGATTCAGTTCGCACGGTCTCTTCCCCGCTTCAGGGGAGTTCGCTCCACGATGGTTGGTGGCAATGCCCCAGTCTTGAGAGCGGAGATTGCGACCCTGCTGGCGAAGGGTGCAATCGAGACGGTCCCTCCAGCCGAGGTGAGGTCCGGGCTTTACAGCCCCTACTTCATTGTCCCCAAGAAAGACCGGTGGGTTACGACCGATCCTGGACCTGCGCATTTTGAACCGTTCTCTCCATCGACTACCGTTCAAAATGCTCACGGCCAAACGCATTTTCGAATGTGTTCGGTATCAGGATTGGTTTGCAGCGATCGACCTGAAGGACGCGTACTTCCATGTCTCCATTCTCCCTCGACACAGACCGTTTCTTCGGTTTGCCTTCGAGGGCCAGGCATACCAGTACGCCGTTCTCCCATTCGGGTTAGCTCTGTCCCCTCGCGTCTTCACGAAGATCGTCGAGGCAGCCCTTGTTCCCCTTCGCGAACACGGGGTTCGCATCCTGAACTATCTCGACGACTGGCTGTTACTAGCACACTCTCGAGCTCAGGTTTGCGAACACAGAGACCTGGTGCTACGGCACCTAGCCCGTCTGGGCCTTCGGGTCAACCGGGAAAAGAGCAAACTTTGCCCCGTGCAGAGGATCTCTTTTCTCGGCATGGAGATAGACTCGGTCGCCATGTCCGCGCAGCTCACGAACGAGCGCGCGCACTCACTGCTGGCTTGTCTTCGACAGTTCGAGGGCAAGAGTGCGGTTCCACTGAAACTATTTCAGAGGCTCCTGGGGCATATGGCATCCGCGGCCGCGGCAACGCCGCTCGGTTTGCTTCATATGAGACCGCTTCAGCTGTGGCTTCGCGATCGAGTCCCGAGGTGGGCATGGCATCGCGGCTCGCTCCGAGTTCCAGTGACTCCGACGTGCCGCCGATCCTTCTTCCCGTGGTCGAACCTCAGCTTTTTACGGACAGGGTCCCTATTCAGCGAGTTTCCAGGCATCTCGTTGTCTCCACGGATGCGTCTACCACGGGTTGGGGTGCCATGTGCAATGGGCATGCAGCCGCCGGTTCCTGGACAGGAGCCCAGCGCCTCATGCACATCAATTGCCTCGAGCTGTTGGCAGTACGGCTCGCCCGGCACCGCTTCCGAGCGTGCTCTAGGGCCAGCATGTGCTTGTCCGCTCAGACAACACTACGGCAGTAGCGTACATCAACCACCAGGGGGGGTCTACGCTCGCGCCGGTTGTCGCAGCTCGCCCGCCACCTCTTGATATGGAGTCAGAAGCACCTGAGGTCCCTTCGTGCAGTTACATTCCTGGAGACCGGAACCGGGCAGCCGCGAGCTGTCCCGGGCCCGTCCCATCTCCGGCGAATGGCGACTCCATCCCCAGTCGGTCCAGCTGATTGGGACCAGTTCGGGGAGGCACAGTTAGACCTGTTCGCCTCTCGGGACTCGTCCCACTGCGCCCAGTTATTCTCTGACCCGCGGCTCTCTCG